TGGTAAAATCAATACATTCATCGCTCCGCTCAGAATCTAAAATTGTAGCTTATAGCACCCATGAATTATCTAGTAAATGTGGATAGTTCTTTTAGGTATATCGTCTATCATCTGTAAGATTTATTATGCCACGGACATTTAAATTCCGCACTGCGTTTTGTGACATATGGTATAAAAAAGTAACATTAAATATTACAGTAAATAAACATAATGTATGTAATGAGTAACAACATTTATTTTTATATGTTTTAATAGATGAAACAAAATAGAAGACGAATTTYCCGATAATATATTATAGTTGTAGGAGTAACATAATATAGATCCTTCAGCGATGATCACTTGTTGTGGTCACTGTGATATTGTTGGTTAAAACAGTAATACAGTGTTATATTTTAATTATTTCGATTGTTAAATGGTGTACGTTGGAAGCAATTGGTGTATACCTACAACATCTTACTTCAATGTTTGCATATATAAATTACATTATATTATGCGTAAGGGATCGTATATATTAAAAATGTGATTGATTAGGTAAACTATGCTTAGGATGCTGACATACAACAATTATATATCATATGGTTATTTTATATTAAAATAAAAAGAATAAAAATCGTAAGTACAATTAATAATTAAAATGTCCAATGTTCAATAACTAATAAACAATTTTTAATCTATGTTGATACTCAATGTACTAAATTATTTTTCATGTTATTTATGAAAAAAAAAATGATATTCTTAGTTCTTACTTTATTTTAGTTTAGTTTAAGTATTGGTTTTAAAATTTTTTGCTCAGCCACATTGGGTATTGAGCTTWTTTAGTTGTTTTATATTAAACATTTTTTATTAGTTATTGAAAATAATAATATAAATTAACCATATAATAATATATAATTGTTGTACATCAGATATTATAAACTTACCTAACGTAACATAACTATATTATTTGCAGCATCTTTTAGTCAGTTACTCGTCGTTTAATTTCTCAATAAATGTCTACAGTAGTAAAATATTTTATTTTTCATATTATTTAAATATTATAGGAAATTAAACATATTATTTAAAAATATTTAAAGAGAGAAATTAAAATAAAATTACTAAAGGATATGCAATTTTTTTATTACGTTTATTAAACACTTGGTATTTTTATAAATTGTGATTTTTTTTATAAAAATTTGTCCAATATGTTAGTTTTTATTTTTATTAGTAAGATTTGTTATATTTATTTCTTCTTTTAATGATCATATTTTATTTGGTTTTACGCCATAATGATTAGTGAGTAGGTAGGTAGGTAAAATATCTACTACAATATGTTTATTATTTAACGTTTTTTTACATAATATAAATATATTGTTATAATACGTAATATTACACGTATTACCTATCTATTCATAGTCTTAATTTTTATGAAAAATATGATGTAACAAACTTCAWAAAATAGGTTCCAATTAGTTTCAAATTATTGATTAGGTTAGGTTATTTATAAAAAATATTGGTGAAGGTTCCAGGTTGATACAATAACATAGGCTGCCCCTAACAGAAAAAATATTTTCCGGGAAGAGTATGAGATTCCAAATTTTGAAAACTAGGTTTTAATTATTTCCAAATTAGTTCCAAAATATTGATGAAGGTTCGAGGTTGATACAACAAAGCGGAGGGGGCAACTTCACTCACGTGTTTTCCTATTATCAGATCAATGATTATTGGTAATAGTATATATTAATTATATTATTAAAATTCAAAAGATTTCACTTCTTATTATATAAATTAATATTAATTACATCATGGAAACGTAGCTTTAAAATTAAGCAATTATTTTTTTAATTATTAAATTTTAACTTACTGGCATAATAAAATATGACATAAAAAATGTACTACTATGGTTCTTTACATTCCCTTGAGTGCGAATCCTATTTTCAAGTTTGTGTGTGATTTATTCATTATAACATGTATTTATACTTATTTACATATTGTTGCATATTAATTAATATGTAAAAATATTACAAGCGTAATAAAGTTCCTACCAAAACACCACTGTCTGTCAACTCAAACTAATTAATGTTGTAACTACTGCACAGGAGATTAAAGGAACATGGACATCACTTGATTGGATTAATTTGCCAGATTAATGAACATTTGAATTCTCAATAACACGTTTATACTTTTAGTTTCTACACTGTTAGTTTTATTTTGTTTAAGCTTTTGTCTAAAACTAATTAAAAACGACATTATGTATATATTATTTTTTAATTTACATAAAACAAGTTATAGGTACTTTAAAATAAATAATATTATTAATAACAATAATAATAATTAATAGTATTATAATTACTATGATTACTATACATATTTTTAATATTATTTATTTTCAAAAATCTGTGAAAGGCTAATTCTTAAACGATTGTCTCCTCATATACTTGAAACCAATATTCTTCCTCCTGCACAATTTGGCTTTAGAGCTAAACATAACACGATTCACCAAGTCCATAGAGTGGTTGATGCTATAAGTACATCTCTCGAAAAAAAATGCTATTGCACAGCTGTCTTCTTAGACATATCCCA